TTTCACGTTCCTCTTCATTTGTTTATAGCGGATTCAAAATCAAAGGTATATAAAAAGTAGCATTTCAGATCTATCTTTCTATCTCCCACAAGTCACTGCCCAAAAGGTCTTTCGTTCAATACCAGATCGCGTCAGATGGGATGAACGATGAGAGACTACCAACTCAGGTAACAAGTCTGATATTGACTGAAATATAGATCTGAAATGTTATCTCTACACACATCTGATTTTGAATCCGCACCGGACAAATTAAAGGGAACATGAAAAATATTTGCAGTTAACGAAATTTCTATCACAAATTTAGGTCCATTAGCTTCTAGTGCTTCTTCAACTTTTGGCCTTTAAAGTTTAAACCGTAACTTTAAAAAACATTGTACGAATAAGTGCTAAGATACAAGAGAAAGAAATGTGAATTACCAAACAAAAAACAAGTAACATTGTTTGGTAAGTGTAAGCAAACAAGTTTGAAAAGTAAAATTTTATATACAAAATTACTAAAAAATACTGTTAAGGATACTGGCTGAAAGAGTACAGAAAATATCGCTTAATAACTTTTAAAGGAACAAAGAAAGGTCCTGTTAGGCTATCTTCACAAATGATGAAGATTAATACTGCTTAAAACAGTAGATTGAAAGCTTCTTTCGAGAAAACAGTTGAATAAATTATTATTTATACAAACAAAAAGAAATAAATTTTAAGATGTCTGCTGGAAGAGTAAAAAATTAGTTTATTGAAAACATATAATTTTTGCTAAGATGGCTGCTGAAAGTATCGTATCAATTGTTAAAAAAAGAATAAGTACAGAATAATACAGCTTAATAAGCTTATCCTTTAGTATATAGTGTTGGAAATAACTGCAATAAAACGAAATGAAATAATGTTAAAAACAGTTAAAAAAATAAAGTCATATCGTTAGGATTTTATTAAGAGAGTAAAGACAATATTGTTTAAAACATGTTAAAATAATAATGAAAACATGATTAAGGTCAGTTTATAGAAAGAAAATCAAGCAGTTGAGTTTGTTAAAAAAAACGGGCACAATTTTTTTATTTAGCTCAGCAAATACTGAAGTGCATTAAAGTTAGGAAAATCAGTAATTTACGGTTCCGGTGAACCCATCCATGATTTCCTGATACGATAGTTACTATCACAATTTATTTTAGTAAGAAACATATAATCCTTGGCGGTTATATATCAGATTTTCGAATTGTTTCAGAGACGCCAACTAATAAAAAATTCGACTCTTTGTTTTAACACGTTGTTTTTTCACTTTGTTAGAAGAAACAAAACAACAGTAGCTGTTCATTGTTTGCTGAATAAAGCACTTATAAATAATATACGAACAGTGATTATAAACCACCCCTAATGATGGATCACGTGATTTAAAAATCGCTCTAAATACTTTGTACGTTTGAAAACTTCAACAAAATCATCCAACCTTTAAATAGAGAAGTTAAAGGAGTTTTTAAAAGTAATAAGTGATAAAAACAACTTCAGAAAAGAGGACTGTCGTTTGAATATTAAATGTTTGAGTTTTCTCTATAATTCAGTGGTTCTCAAGCTTTTTTGTTCGCTGACCACCTGATTTTTTTTATCTTGGCGGATTACAGTGGGATCTATCTATACATTATGCTGCTTATTAATACTACAAATAAATGACCTTATAACACCAAAATGTTGTTTATATTTAATTAGACAGTCAACGTTTTGTTTTACAGCTTCTTCGGGTGCGTTTACTAAAACACAAACCGTCAGTTTTGGTTTGTTTTAGTGAATGCTCCTGAAGAAGCTGTAAAGGGAAACATTGAGTGTCTAATTAAATATAAACAACATTTTGGTGTTATAAGGTCATTTATTTGTAGTATTAATGTCTTCTATACACCAATATGCACTACAGAAATTATATTATGCTACTTGTTCCTTTCCATCATTATGCAATATTTCCACGAACCACCATGATTCGTGGTTCTGGACCACAGATTAAGAACCGCTGTTCTATATCAAGCTCTTATGATATTATTTTTGAAATCATCTATACAGAATAATGCTTTTTAAAATGTTCTATATATTTTATAACGTGAAATTTTCAAGAAAACAACAATTAATGCTATACTAGTACGACTGGATACTTATGTTTGTTATTTGTTGAGGAATACATTTTGACACATAAAAACACTATAGTAAGTTTAACCAAAACACTCGAAATACGAATATATATATATATACTCAATAACACCATAAAAAGTATTTACCAACTGACAGTGATCGCTGGCTAACAAGTTAATCAGTTTTCACAAACTGCAGCCTCTGTAGGATAAAACGGCCTATAGTCGAATAATTAAGATAAAGTGAGTTGTTCAACATATATATATATTTAAAACAAAAATATTAATTCTACAGTTCTGCTTCATAATTGTCAAATGAGATTACGACTATTTCCAATAAGTCTGTTCACGAACGATTCCACACAACATTCTCCATAATTAGGTTCAGCATGGCCTGTAGGACGATAAAGAGCTTAACTACTTCTATTCGCATGTTCGAAATTGGGTATAAGATAACAAAAAAACAACAAGAAGGAATGAAAACTGTTAAGCTATATATCGTCCAGTGGGCCCACATAACCTGGATGCGTGTGAAATTAACAAATTGAGTTGAACCTATTTGATGATATTCCAGATGCGTTTCACTTCAAGATCAGCCGAGGCAGACAAGTTTTTCTTGAACTTTCCGCAAGATGGGTTTGAGTTAATAGTGACCAATGGACCTTCGTCGATATTAGTTTGATATTATAATGTGATCGGAAGTTTAGTACAAGTATATGTGAACTAAACCCTCAATACCAACCAAGAACAGGAGACCCTATTGGCTAGTTCACTGTGGAACCTTCAATGAAATGTCAGAATAAAAACTACGATAGGCCTATACATTTATCTCAACACACTTTAATATTTTGCTAATAAAAAAAAAAAACGACTGACAAGATATATTCATTACACATGCCATTTTGTTTCTTATAAAGACGTTTTGTAATGACTTAAGTACTTAATTTCTGTTCCAATTTACTCTTCTAGATAATTAGACAGTAAGACTCAATGCAGGTATTTTTTCATACAAAAACGGACTCTATAGCTTTTTTATATATATAATCGAGTAGTAATACAGCCACTGTGAACATATCTTCTATACACACTGTTCATCGTGCCGACAAACGGAGAGCTTAATTAATTGGTGTGCTGGCATTTAGAAAATACGTAGTAGCTATTCTACTAGACAACAAATTATACAACTTACAAGATCTTTGGTCACTTGGCCAACTAATAAAAGGCTAGGCCTACACTCTGCACATACAAACAATGATAAACACAGAAATTCCTACAATGAGATTGCCACATGGGATGCCACATTTTGTGACTAATAATGGGATTCAGTTTTGTACAGCCACACTAGATGAAACTTATTTACAAGAAAATTTCAAACTCCATCCTATAAATCTATATATTGGACATTTATCACGTAACTTAGGTCATAACATTTATCACAAAACTTGCGTATAACACACTATGTCTACAAAAGCACCATCTAACCTATAATTATAAAATAAAATAAAAATTATAAAATTTTGAAAATTGCACATAATGCGTAAAACTAAGGAATACTTCGAAATCAATATGGTTTACGACCTATGATTCTTGTTTATCAAATTTAAACTGATCAGAAAATTTTGACGAGTAGACTTTCTTAACTGCCCTTTGTTTACTATTGTGAGGACAAAGAATTGTTGTTTTTCAGATGAAATCTAATGAAATGGTTAAAATGCCGTTATTTTAAATTCCTGATGAACAATCACAGACTTAAGATCATTAAAGCTATTTTCAAATATGGTGGTACCTATAAGCTTATTCAACACGTAGTTCTTCAGTTATTGTTGGCTATTATTATAAATAATGTAGACTATAGATAAAAGCATGGAGACTAAAACAATTTTCGTATGATTTGAACTAACGATTTTAAAGTTATACCAAAAGTTGTGTCGGGCATCTCTGTCGGTTCGTCAAATTAGATTTATTGTGTGTTTGTTTTTAATTATGCACAAAGCTACACAAGGGCTATCTGTGCTCTGCCCACCACGGGTATCGAAACCCGGTTTCTAGCGTTGTAAGTCCGCAGATATACCGCTGTGCCACTGGGGGGCAAAATTAGATTTAATACGATCTCTGAATTGTAAAGCTGCAGTAGTAAAATTGTTGTTAGCCGATAACGTTAACTTCCTGAAATCTCTTCCGAGAACATTAATTTCCTAAAATTTCGTCTGAGAACATTAACTTCCTAAAATCTCGTAATTAAGCGTATAACTGTTAAGACAGCGACGTAAACAAGTATTTATTAAAAATCAAGAATAACTGGAGAATACAAATATTTTTATTGTTTTTAACTTGAATTTTAGTAATTAAGGTGTGACCTCCCAGTTGTTAGTTTTTGTTTGTAGTTAAGCACAAAGCTACACAATGAGCTATCTGTGCTCTGCCAACCGCGGGTATCGAAACCCGGTTTTTAGCGTTGTAAGTCCGCAGACATACCGCTGTGCTATTGGGGAGCGTTAGTTTTTGTATTTGAGTTAAGTGGCATAGGCAACGAACGGGCCTGGCACTTGCGTACAATATATTACATACACTTCCTTTTCTCGTTATTCTTATCTAGTGTGGCTGCACAAAAAGAGACTTTACAAGTCAAGTTGTTTTTCATAAATTATTCTTTCTTACACATATTAACTTTACCTAATTTCTGAACAAACAAAACAAAACATCTTTACCATTATTTACTTCTTAATTATTAAAACCAGGTTTCACCACAAAACTACTTTAATGGAAAATTCTATGAGTGACAAGTATCACATTATATCACATACCTGGACTTTTTTTTTTATCATTTTTGACAAAATAAAAATTATTATTATTTCTGTATCACACAAAGTATTGGGTTATTAAACCATGCACACCTACACTATATTATTTTCAACCTCTTAATGGCTGATATCATAGGGATTTTTTTTTTCTCCACCAAAAACACAGAGCAAGTTTGCACCAAAATTTTGACAACAAATACCATGTTTCACAACAATCTAAATATCTTTCAGTTTATCACCCTGTTTATATAATGCCTTTTTTGAAATAAGTGACAAGCAAAGTTTAGGATCAAAGGGCCACTTCAGCATCGATGAAAACGTTATAACATACTCTCTTTCTTCATTCTGTTGAACAGAATGACTAAGTGATTGCCTATTATATAAAAATGTGTACAACATGTGTTAATATTCTCTGTTTCAAATAAATTTTTCAATTTCTGAGTGTTTATAAAGTTTAAGTTAAAAAGGCCCAAATTATGATGCTGTCATGATCTCAAGATTCACAAATATTGTATATTTTACAACGATAAGTGCCAATTTTAAAGATATGTCATTTAAGTGTGCTAAAGTACTCCTCAGTCTCTTTAGATTACATCTTGAAGTGTCTATAGCCATGCACAACAAAATAATTTTTGAAAATGTTCAACATATGTTAACAAAAAAATAGCACTAAAAAAAAGATAACATTACCCAAACTTATAGAAAAAATGTTAACAATACAACATGGAATATGGTATATAACCAAATGCTCACTTTCTTACATTAATCATTTAATACTATATGAACAACAAAAAGCAAATAAACAATTTCAATAAACAGTACAAAGCAATAACCAAGAATTTTTTTTGATTTTTAATGAAAAAAAAAAAATTAAGATTGGGCCACTGAAATTATCTTCAAAAATAAAATCCTTATGCAAAAAATCTGGATGAATGATTTAATAGATTCTTGTGCCTTGACTAGGCCACAGATAAAACATAAATGATATAACATGTGCTCCTTTAAAAGAAACAAAAATAAACAGATATGATAGAAACAATAACTGCAGGAGCAAGAGGCACAACAGATCATTTTCATACTATGACACCTGTACCTTAATGATTATGATATTAAGTTTACAACCACATCAAGAAAAAATATTAGTATTTTCCTTGAATCTATGAGTTTGTTTTTTGTCTCCAAGGTTTCAAGTCTAAAACCAGACCTTACAAGACAAAAATTAGAGATATGCACACTTTTTAAAATGTTTAAATTCCAGTATTGGCCACTGGAGAGTTGTTTTAACCACTACAGCAAATCACAACCACAACTATACATCACAGATGAGATTCCATCTCTGTGCTTCTCCTTTGACTATTGCCTCATTGTTTGGCTTGGCTTGAAGAAAAAGTCTTACCTTTATTTAATCTAAAGAAGTGTACGTGTGCACAGCTTATTGCACACACTTTATATAGGTGATCATTCTGCAAAGGTAGCACTATTACATGGATAAAAGAAAACATTATATAGACTCTCAAAGTCTGCAAAGATGCAACACGCACTACTGATCAGTAGCACAGTAATTATAAAGAAGAAAACTGATAAAAAGATATTATTGGTTTCTAAACAGAAGATAGACATTCTGAGATGATGACAAAGAATAAATTTATTTACTAGATAGTTTCTTTCTGGGTATTGCATACCCATTCAGAGACACGTCAACCCCAATTTAAGGCTGCTTGTTCTTCTTATGTCACATATAACAGTCTCACTACTATTGCACACCAAGTTCAAAGTTAGAAGATTTATTAAGTTTCACCATTACTTCCAACACACAATGGTTCTACAACTTCTCCTATAGCTTAATTTTTGTTTTATACTGGTCCATTGAAACTGACCAGCCCATAGCCATTTTGTGCTGTTGACGAAACTACTAATGGCACAGTAGATGAAGGTGTGGTACTGGAAATTCCTGATGAGGCTGTCACAGCTGATAATGAGCTGGTAGAAGCAGAGGAATGATTGACATACTCCTTCTCCACTTTAGTCATATGTTCCTCAGAGTGAAGGTCTACTTTGGAGTGTGGTACAGAGCTGTTATTTTCATCTTTTATTTGATTAGCAAGTTCTTTGACAACCCGGAGCCCTTCATCCATAAGTGTTTCCTGAACTAGTTGCTTGGTTATTTGGGCATTAGTCTTCCTGCTGGTAGATACCATTTTCATGGCACTAAACATGTCTGCAGTTGGGAGTGAATGGTTGAAGTCCAGTGATGGGGAGTCATTGGTTTCCTGACTCATCGGAGGGGAGGAGGTGTTGCTGTATGCTGAGAACTGGGAATCTGAGGGTTAGAGTTTAAATTAAAAGATAAGAGTTACAAATTACCTATCAGTCACATGAGATTTTACCCTTTTAAAAATGAAAAACAAAATCCACTGACATACTGTCATGAGTTGTTAAATGCTGACTTTATCATGCTAACAGTGAAATAACCCTGAAGTATTATGGGATTTATTATTGGCATTATCATATTAACAACGAAAGAATCAATATTTGCTAGTATACTAATTACTGACTATATTATACTGACATTATAATAATCATCCTTTATCTTAATAACAATTAAATCATTTATGTGCACTATAATGTTAATTGATGACTTTACATTATTATCAGTGGAAGCCATTTTAGTTATGACCATCAGATTGAAATGATATTTTTAAAGAATGAACATCTAACATTTATTGGTAGCATTAAAGGAATGTTTTGAAACAAATAAATTAATTTTTAGTGTAAATTACTGCTTATTTTAACTTTGTAAAAACTAAGAAACCTTAATGGAAATAAACTAATCATAGAAGCCCTACATCGACTGTGATGTAACATTATGGATGGAAGTGTGGCTCATGTCCAGATCCAGAAACCACTGTAGGGTAAATATTTTATATATGAAGATGTCTTAGGATTAATCTTTTTTTAAAACTTTTTCAAATAACCTTTGTAATTAATTGCCCTAACTGTTTTTCAATTTGTGTATATCTGTGAATATTTCTTGTTAATAAAGCTACTAAAAACTCCCTTCAACCAATCAGTAAGAGAATAACAATAAAGGAGAGTATTTATTTACTTTTTACTATTTATATAACTATGTCTGAACAATATGATTCTATGCAAATTTACTACTTTTTGTTTTCCATTATTTAAGTATTTTCAAGTAATAATTTATGAAAACCATAATATATTCTTCTGCCTAATAAGTTGCACATACATATCAATAGTTAAACCTATCTTACCTGTGTCATCAGTGTCAAGTTTTTCTGATTCAGAGCAGTTTGAAAGATGTCCATATCCCCTACCACTATAAGAGAACCTGTTTGGCAATAAATATTATTAAATATATATATAGTTAAATAACTTTAATAACTAAATTAAAGTTTTACATGTAATCTTCTCTTTTCAGGGGCACATGAATTTCAGTTTTCATAATAGAATAATACATCCTTTACATGAACTCAACTGTATCAGTATTAAAGATTAGCATGGAAAAAGTTAATATTACATTGATAACCATGCTTTATAACCGTTTTGTATTTGGCATATTTTTAAAAAATAATGGATTTAAGAAAACTGATTAATCATATTATTACAGAAACAAATTAACAATTTGTATTCAATATTAAACTTATAGTATCCTTTCTAACAAGTATCACTGTAGCTGAGTGAAAAAGCCCATAAGTGAAAAGAAATTTCTGGAATTTGTTGGAAAGTTTACTTTCCTTAATTCATTTTCATGTATTACCTATAGTATCCTGTTCTCATAATGGAATAAATAATGTTTAATATCTTGTGCAAAATTACTCTTTCTGATACAAAAAAGTACATTCTAAGTATATTTCAGGTGAAAATGTGAGACAAGCCTTCCTCATCTTGATGGACGCCCAACAGAGGGCAGCAACTACATCGCTCAAGTAGAAAAGTTTCAGTAATAACGTGCTAGTTTTAAAATATATTTGTATACAATTATTTGACCTTTCCTTTACTTTACGACTACGCGAGTTTAATAACAAATAATTGAAGCTTTAATTTCTTTTTACCTTCTTTATCTTTCCCTATCAATATTGCAATTATTATAAATACTTTTGTATTGCACTGTTGTAGTAACATTTTGAACTTTGTTTTATTGTTTACTTGCAGTATCTTTTTCTCTATGAAACCTGGATAACTTAAGAACAAATTACAGTTTTTCTTAAAAATGAATTTGTCATGTTCCTATATTCTATTGCCGTTAAAAATGGACACGATTAAGGTTAGTAGCGACATAATTTCTACATCAGTTAATAGTTTATTTCAAATTGTTTTTCTCAACATACTAGTGAGCAAAAATCACCAGAAAATGTACAAATAAGAGTTATTTCTTGATACCTTTTGTTCGTTCGAATGTTTTAGAATATTAAAACGTTCTTATTTTTCCTTACCCCGAACTTTAAAAACATATCTGTCAATAGAAGACACCAAAATATTTTATAAAATGTAGTATTAAAGTAGGAAGGCAAACAATGATTTATAAGCATAAGGAAAAGCTAATTGATGGTGGAACATGTACATATACGTGTTCCACTATTAATAAACTTTGCTTTATGCTTATACATCATTGTTTGCCTACCTATTATTATATTAGCATAATGTGTTTCCTTATTCAAGTAAGTTTGTTTGATTGTTAAGTCCAAATCTACAAAATGGGCTATCTGTGCTCTGCTCACCGTGGTTATTTAAAAAGAATTTTGAGCTATATAACCCGTCATACTTACCACTGAGCTAGAGGGAGCAAATGTGTAGTTTGGTCATATTTTTGAAAACAACTTTTAGCGTTTTCATTGATATGTATAGTTTTTGGAAGATATATTTTTTTTCGTTTTATACGAAACACTACTTAATGAAACTGGATAAAAATATTTCCCTTTAAACCTAAGGTAGTACCAAAATGGTCGATGTTATGAGTAGTGTTCAAACGTTTAGGGTTAGCAATTCATTATACATGCTATAAATCTTAGTCTCACACAACTAATATGCAATCAGATCAAGAAAGTTATGGTAGCTATAATGCGAATTCTGAATTATTTTATTTTTTAATGATTGCCAGGACAGAGTTTCAAAGAAAATTAGTATTTTTAAATATTAGGTTTATATTCATATTACGGAAAAATACAAGTGTGAAGTAACTTCAAAATTTTTACATAATTAAAATTACAAATGATTCGTTACGTATACATAAGTAATTAGAAATGACCGTTACAAGGTAGCCCTGTAAAAACAAAGAATACGCGAAAAATAACAAAAGATCTACAGGTTTACTAACGATTGAACTAATGAGTCCACTATTTTTTAATTTTTTACATATATTATCCACTTTTTTCCCCGACTAATACGACCCGCTATTGCTTTTTGACGTAAAAAGTATAAAGTAAATATCTGCCCATAGAGGACGCTACATTACTATATATGGTGCAGTGTGACTGTTTTTGATAACAACTTTTTATTCGCCCCTGTTAAACTTTAAAAGCTAAAACTTGAAACATTTTTTTTGTTCATCAACAGAAACGCAGTAATTACAAACTAGTATAAATGAGTTCATACAATAAATTACAACATAAATTGAAACATCAAACCAACTCTCGCCTCTCTAAATAAACAGGTATTACATAAGTCCTATTATAGTTATGATAAGCTAAACTGAAGGTCATATAACAACAAAAATAATATCCAGAAGCTACAAGTAAAGTCCAAATAAGGCTGAGCCGTAGTACTTCCGGGTACGTACTTTAGTCTGGCATTTCAAAGTAATTTCTATCTCTCCTTGGATTGGCCAGGCGGATCGATTGTCATGGGCCAAGACTATTACTGCATGTATGTTGGTTTCTTGTAGCCAATAAAACTCAGTCGTCATGTTAGTTTTTATTTATTATATGTATCGACCAAGGCTACCCAGTTTTTGTTCACGTGCAACCAATAATACTGTTACCATGGGAACCGCCATTTTAAACAAAGAAAAGAAAGCAACCATTTACTGTACAATCAAGAATAGAATCTGTTGAAAGAAGAAGTTAGGGCTAAATGTAAGGTGATGACAACGTTATCTTAAGAAATAAACATAAGATAAATACCAACAGGAAAAAAAAAAAAAGGACTTAAGATAATAATTGTCTCTGAAGAAACAACATTCTCCAAAACACTGGTTTCAACACAAGCTATAAAAAATAAACAGGGGAAAATGTGTGTATGTACAAATAAATTATTTAAAGGAATTAGTAACCTTAATTTGAACATTCTGTTTTATCATTTGACGCACATCAAACTTCTAAAAATCCTGGACCCGCCAGTGCTCTCGCATATACAAGCAAAATGCATTGTACGAAATAAGAAATACTGCAGATAATCTTAATGGCATATGGAAATGATTGGCAACCCATATTTTTGGCTCAATAACATCATGCAAGGCATTACTACTGGTTCTAGTAAATGTTGGCGTTTTCCTATCTTGTGAATCCAATTGTACAATAAATAGTTTTTTACGACGTAAAAATATCATTTCTCCAGTAATATTAACAGTAAAATGATAAAGCCCAGGATGTTTAGTAGATGGGCACAGTGACCCCCCCCCCAAAAAAAACCAAACAACAAGCAAACAAAACACACACACACACACAAAAACAACAACAAATACTGAATATAATTATATATATTTTAACCAACGTTACGATTTTATATACTCACGGTTTCATTTGAACAAAACTTTACATGCGAATAAAAAAGTGGGTTAGCGTCAGCTTCAGTGGCAGTCATTTAAAAATTTGGCGAGGAGGCAAGACCCATCGAAAATCTGACAGACTGAAATTGTAAGATACTGTATATTTGTGAAGTTAGCGTTTATGGACCCTAATCGGTGGCACATTATTTTATCATGTATATATATCTATTTGAGGCTGGTTAAAGGTTGTTACTGTAAATATTCCAAGACTTTCACTCGAGAAATTATTTGAAAGATATCTGGTAATTTCAGCGATGATTTCGCACAATCTGAGATTTGCATAGTTGAAACTTGAAAAAAAAAAAAAGCAACAAAAAACTTCAATCAAAGACACCAAATAACTGAGTCATGAAGAACTTACTGACTAATTAATATATGCATGCACTACGTATACGAACATAATCTGGGTGGCTGGGTCAACATACATATTGCTATTTGGATTCGCGATGAAACATGTAAGGTGGTGTAATAATGTTTAATGGCGTGGATCAATATAATTTCCGACAGCCTGATTTATTTCCGAAAAATTAAAATGTAAGGAGGGCAATTGCACCCCCAGCCCCCGCCCTCCTAAATATCTGCAACTGGTTAGCTTAATCTAAATTCATTTTAAAATATATTACATAACTACTTAAACTTGTATTAAAATGATTGTACAATAGCTAATACACAAACATTGCTTTAAAAGGGTAGAAGAAGAAACTATACGTTTAACACTACATTTTTGTGACTCAGACACTGAAAGGTAGACTATTTATAAGAAAGGCTGTAAATTAATTTTAATTAATTTCATTATTCAATGGGATTTAACAAAAACAAATATAGGAGATTTAATTGCTCCAAACACAGTGAACATTTAATAACATGGTGGCTTCCTGTGCAGGTAGTTTCACTATAATTAATTACTAACTAACATAACTCAGTTTGACTGTCCTGATTTATTACGAACCGAACTTTCTGTTCAAGATGAGCAGATGCGTCGCCTAACAAGTTTTTTTCAGAAGCGAATACGATCAAAATTGTTAACAAAAACATCTGTCTGCTTTTTATTCTGTAGAGCATATCTCGGAGACCATAAACTGGAATGCATCTACGCACACTTTGCGCATGCGGGCAGACACACATACACACACACACACATATATATGCATACAAAGTTCACGCTTGTTACGAGCCGATTATCAAAATAAATCCATCTTAGTATTATAGTGCTGCCATCAAACGGGTAGTATAATCAATAACAGTGATGTCACACAACTTGAATTTACATTGTTTCGAACGGTATGTGTTATATCCGGATCGGGTTTTACGTTTGCTTTTGTGTTTTCACAAAAGGTTTCTGTAAATGTTTATCTATTCAAAACTGATTGTGTATTTCTCTTGCTTCTGTGACAAAGACGTCAATAACGCTGAATAAGGGGAAACACAACAATTTGTTTTACATCTGAGTTCTTTAGGCTTTCTCATGAGAAGCGTAATGCACTAATTACAGCGAAGCACGAACCGCACACTACATGTAATTGGCAAACTTCTGCTCGTTCTTACTGTTAATCAGAGCACGTCAT